AAAAAAAAGAAGGGAGAAAGCAAGCGCACACACTAAAAAAAAATCAAAACAAAAAGCAACCAAACAAACCCCCAAACCACCAGCACGGCTGTGGGGGGCGGGGGGGAAAGGGAGAAGTTTGCGGGTGTTAACTCTCCGTAGATCTGTACCGCTGGCTGGGAGTGGGTCTGGAAAATAAACGCTGGGTTGCTGGCTCTGTGGGAGTCCAGGAGGATATGAAGACTACCCATGGGTACTAGACCTACTGAATGCAGGTTGTTAGTCAATAACATATGCAGAGTCCATTATGCTTCTAGAGATGGGCGTAGAGGTTTGTAATAACAAATATTGTCCAAAAGAAAGAGGAAAAAAAAAAAAAAAAGAGGAGGGGGGGGGGAGAGAGAAAAAAAAAATCAGTCACTTCGCTTCGGATGGGATATGCAAGCAAGTAAGCACAGCCCCTTTCCTGCATCTGACATTTTACATAGATAATTAAGTCCACATTTTTTTTCCTGCGGGAAGTTAGAAAAAAAAAAAAAGCCAGGAACTAAAGTTTTTTCGCAAAGCAGAAGGAAGGAGGGAGCCTCTAGCGTCCACAAACCAAACAGAAAAGTAGCCTGGGCGAATTGGGAGTGGGGAAAGCAAAACAAGCAGCGTTTGCAATGCTGGAGGACTTTCCAAAGGTGGTGACGGTGCAAAGCGGAGAAATCTGGTGACAAATGACTTCAAACTTTTTCCTCCTTATTTTTTTTTTCTCTTTTATTGCTCCCTGCCCACCACCTCTGTGCTGAGAGACACCAGCCCAGCACTCACGGATCTCCCTTGGGCCAAAAGGGAGCACCCACTCTGCACCAAAGGGAGCTGGGCCTGGGAAGCAGGTTGCCCACCCGGTTGGTCACCACTACAGAAGGGCATAAGAACATTGCGTTGATGAAACTGGGATCAGGAAAGCATGGGGCATCCGGCGAGGGCAGGCTTGGAGCACGCCCTGGGCCACTGTGTTTGCTCATCTGCCTTTGGACCTCACTAAAAATGGCCAGGGAAGTAGAAAAAAAACACTTCCTAAGATAGCTGGATTGCAACTTTAACAGCTCTGAACTGCAGGTGGGGAAACCAGGGAAAGCGGTGGAAATGAATGTGCGGTTAGAAAGGATACTGCTTGGGATGACATCTAACCACTTTATTTATTTATTTATTTATTTATTTATTTATTTGTGCTTTGTATCTAACCTCGACTTTTCGTCTCTGCAGCACTGGGGCAAACCCTGTGCCGAGGAGCAGCCTGCACCATCCTGGCACCTCTTTGGTGGATCTGGCCGGCCCCTGGAGCTCGCTCCACAGGAGCTCCTGCTCTTCCCACCCATTGCGGCAGCAGCGCCTGTGCGTAATTTAGACTCCTCAAATGCCCAGAGCTGGTGGAAAGAATCCTCATGTGGGAATTATTTCCCTCCCAGAGCAGGAGCTAAGTGGGAATAGTGCCATGAACCCACCAGGAACCGAACAAGCCCATGGTTGTTGAAATTAAATTGTTGAAATTAAAAAGTTTTATATTTCCGTTTGCGAGACCCTCTGGCTCCTACTGCTTATGTTCTCCTAACAAACTGATGGCACCACTAAGTGACGCATGCAACTGCACACGGATAGTTCACCGTCTTGGGTTATTTCTTAAGGGAATGGCCACTCCTAAGTGTGCACTGTCACCAGTGCCGAAAAGTAGCTTCTGTGCCTTTGTCAATAATCTGCAAGACATTTCGCTGTAATAACCAGATTAACTGTTTACTCATAAATGCAACTATTGAATATGGTATGCAGCTATCTTTTCAGAGTTCAGTTCTTCATCCATAACCTAAATTCCCAGAACAGACTGAATTTCTTGATACAGATTTACTGGAGTAACTGAGTTTACAGTAGCAGTGATTTTTCCCATAACTTTTTGGAGATCTACTCCTGCTCACCCAAGATTTTTGCTGACTTTTGGTGTAGGTGAGACCAGGCCCTTGGTGAACAGGGGATGCAGCACTGAGGTTATCATCTATATGAAGGCACATTTGCTCTGCAGTAAAAATTCATATTGCCCACATTTAGACCTGCCTGTGAACAGTAGCATTTCAGAACACCACAATATTGAAAAAGCCACTGGGTTTTACCCATTTGCATGGTTAGTGAATGAGCTGTTTTTAAGATTACTCCTGCAGTAGGGAGGTGGCCAGGAATTAGATGCTGCACCTTGTAGATTTATAGCTTCGGGACAGGCCTAAAAGGCGGCACTTACAGGGTCCCCGTAGCCGTGCTTGGTGCCTGACATCGTTCCCTTTGGAGCAAGGAAACTGGAGGAGATTTTCACAACATCCAGGTGCTCCTCACTGGAAAAAGCAGGTCAGTGGGACATGGGCATCCACGGGATGCGGGCACAATTCTGGTGTTCCTCATTCATTTAGTAATCTAAAAATACGTCTTGCCAGCTTCTGAAATTATCCAGGTACAGCATTTCACTTGGAATTATTAAAAAGGAAAGAGAAAAAAAATTGCATGTTGTGGTTATGAAGGAAAAAAAAAAAACTTGAAAATGTGATCCTCGCACTCTAATCTGAAAGATCAAAATGCAGCTATTGTAGAAAAGAGAGACTTTTCATTTAATCTGAAGATTTTCCAAAGGCCAAATCCCATGATCCAAAGGAGCTTGATTTACGATCCCTGGCCACTTGGGATTGGTAACGCAGCGTGTGCACTGGTAGCAAGTCCTGCTCCAAAAAGAGAATAAGAGCACCATCTACTGCCCATGCCTGCAATTTGCTGGGAAAACAGCAAAAACCTCAATTCCTTGAAATGGTTTCAATGGGCCATGGCTCTCGCTTCCCACAGCCCCATCAATGGACCGTAAGATGGCCCGATGCAGCGATGATGGAGCCGCTGGAGCAACGGGCTGCAAAGCAAAAGGCAGCAGCAGCCTAACTGCACAGCACGGAGGTTAATCATGAAAAATTGCGCCCCTGAATAACGTGCATTCTCCTGCACTGGTTGCTTTAGAGAGGGTTTCGGTATAACAGCATTTTCATACATTTCCCTCAAATCCTTTCATGTGTTTATTAGCGCAGTCTTCAAGAGCCTTGTGTATAATTCCCCCTTCTGTGCACTTCATCCCGGGCAAGCGTTTTCACAGTCAACAGCAGCTAATGAAAGAGGTGGCACATCGGCCAGCGGCTTAAACCCCAGTAAATCCCGAGTCTGTGCTCTGCCCTGGCCTCCTTCCAGAAGCTTGCTTGAAAGTCAAGAATGTGACATGTTTTAATTATGCTTATAGGTCAGGATTTAAATGAAAGCCCCGTTATAAACAGCAGTCTCAGAGGAAAGGTCTGCGCTCAGGTTTTTTCACCTCGAATTGATTACCAGTTAACTCGGGGTAGTTAACACGTTTGTAATGTCTCGTCTGGACACTTCCCAGATGTTTGTGCCAGGATGCAAATGGTTGTGGTTTATACTGTAAATAGGAATGCCTCTAGTTTTTGGCCCGAACTGATTTCTGGTTGAAAAGTATTGAAATAACATGGTTGAAAGTGCTCACCATCCAAATGAAAAGAGAGAAAGAAATATATATATACATATATGTGTGGAATATATATATGTATATATTCCAGATCTAGACCAAGCCATTCTATGGGCCACCCAATAGCTTTTGGCAGAACCTTCAAGTTCAGGAGTGTGGGCCGAGCAGCTGGACCTTGGTGGGCAGGTGGACCTCCACTGGGGCTCTGCGGGGCTCTGTTCCCCATGATGGTCTGGTCTTGCCCAGCTCCATGCAGGCCAGCTCCATGCATCCATGGAGGGGATGCTCCAGGGAAGAGGTCCCATACAGTCCTCCTGCCACCTCACGTGAGCCACGAGGGTCGGGCTGTGTATTTGTATACAATACTGATGTCCCTGGGCTTATCTGCGCTGTGGTTTCTATGTTGATAATTCATTGTCAGCAAGCTTGGGGAATTTAACATGTTTGCAAGCGGCTAACCTGCACCCTGCCTCAATAGTTGCCCCTCAAGCCGGCCCTGGTGCCGTCCCCCCAGCACTGGATCCAGCACCGAGTCTTGGAGAGGCGTCGCACACAAAAAACTGGCTGATAATCTTCAAAGCTGGCTCTTCTCTGCCGTTTATCTTATCTAGCGCGCTGCTCAAGTGTGGATTTGCATAATACAGACCTAATAGATTCATGTTCCTATTCACTGACAGCATCTTGACACTGCTTTCTTTGAAGGCTTGGATGAAAACTATCAGGCTCCTTACAAAAGAAGATGGTTTTATAGATCTGGAAATCTCCACCCCTGATTTTCCTCCTGAATACTTTCATACAGGCTGCTTGATGCTGCCATCGGAGCCAGGCCTGAAAACTGAGGAGCAGAGGGAGCTGCATTTGGGGCTGGTAGCACATTAGTCAGCTAAAGCACATGAATCCATCGGGTCTGGATATGATGCATTTTGTCTATGTGCAACATCTTCCCAAATATCTTGCATTATAGCCCCTTTTGCAGCCAGCAAGCACTCCTTTTGGTCACCTGCATTTGCAGACACAGTTAAATGCTTTTTCTTCCAAGTGGACAGTGTCTCTTGCAACTCCACTTCTCTGTGGCAGCTACGTGTTGCTTGGGACATTGAGCTCTGCAAGGTTGAAGAGATGTCTATAGCTTTGCTTGGAAAAGCTAAAGGAGTACTTGCTTGAGCATAGGTCTTCTTCTAGCCATAGGCACGCAAGGCAAAATGAAAAGCAAATTACCCATTTTATTTGAAATGAAGGATAATGATCACATCTTGGGACACACCGTTGGGTTCGCGGTTGATCTTCCCACCTTCACAAGGGGGCTGGATGCCGTTTTGGAGGACATGCTGAAGCTAAGCGCCAGGTATCGGGTCGGGGAAGGGGAATGACCATGCAGTTAGTGGGCTCTTTTGCTTGTCCCAATCTGCAAATCAGCTCTGATCCAGGGGTTACAAAATAACCAACAACAAATCTCTTTAAAATTGCCAGTAAATGTCAGGAAATGCACTTTAAACACACAAAGACATGGATTCTTTGACAGCTGTTGCACAACAGATCGCAAACCGCTCGTGTGCCCTGTCACGGGCCACTCTAAGTCCTTTGTGCAGCCTTGCCAATGCCAAATTCAAAACCCTTCCTTTCTTGCAAAATCCTGGGGCTGTTTTGCAATACTAAAATGCCAAAATGAAAGAAAAAGTCCCCCATTCCAAACGATGTCTTTGGAATTCTCTTTAATCACTTCTGAGATGCCAAATTTCTCCAATATTTTCCTGTTTCAGGGAACAGGAAACTTTCTGGGAAAGTTTTCCCCACTCAGAGAACCTGGCTAATGCATCAGCAGCCAAAGGACTATTATTACTGTGCCTTCTTGTGCAGATATGATCTAAAGAAAAACACACATCTAGGCCTAATAATAATAAATAATCCAGCTATTCATGCAGTTCACTGCTTACACAGCAGCAATTTCCCCATAATTGCAGGTAAAAGGAGCGGGCACACAAGCAGCAGTCTGTAGTGACTGCGTATTACCCAATGCTGGCGTTGAAGCTATTTCTTATAGGTAATTTATATTTTTGGTACAAAAACTATTTCAAACTCTATCAGGGCCTCGATAAAGCTCTCCTGAGTCCCCGCCTCCAAATGTGTTTGCACCAGTGGAAAGGGGGAAAAAAAATAAAGTGTTTGAGCACAAAGGTGTTTCAGAAGGAAAATGGTGTTGGGGGTGGTCAGGAGAGTCCATGAGCCTTAAAGAGGCTTAAGCCATTGAACTTCCTGGGATGCCCCTGGTATAGTGCAGAGTTTACAGCACCATGACTGCAGGGGCTGCCAAAATCACCCTCCTCGTCCCTCTCTTCCTGGCCATTGCCATCCTGGATGGCATTCCCGAGCGGCGGCTCTGGCCTGGGATGCCATCTAGTGCTCAGCATTCACATTGGAGGAGCCTTCGCTAGCAGCAGGAGCTGCTTGGGATCACCCCAGGCTTCATTTTTCCAAGACCTTGCTGGAATTTCTAAGTGGTTTGGGTTGATAGAGCCTCTTCTTACTGTTTTCTTCCCTTCATCTTTATTTTTGTCACTTAATACCGCGTAACTTAAAGGCTGAGCAACCTACAGCGGCGCAGACTCCGGAGGTGGGATTCAGGGTAGGTGGGCTGCCCTGGGGGTGGGAAGTGCCTGTTTCTCCTCTTTTGACTTGTAAAGAGAACCAAAACGGCTCAGATGAATGTAGCCATTGGAGGTGGCATGAATCCACCCTGCTGCTTCCCAGGGAAAGTTTGGAGAGATTTTTCAGGAGCAACGCGGTGAAGTCCAGACAGAAGATATTTCTTTAGGGATCACCAGTGGCAGCATAGAAGCAAAAAAGCAAAAGGGGAAAATGTCCTAGTGCTTGAAAACTAGGTGCCACCAGGAGGCAAGGGCTAAAGAAGGATCCAAAAACTAGAATTTCAGGTGCTTTGCAACATCTTCCAGTCAAGGCCTCTGCTCTGCTCTCTCCAGAAGCCCTTCTACATGTAAATAATCTTTTCTCGCTGTTTGTCCTCAAACATATGGAACTCGGAGCATCAGCCCAAACTGCGCTCTCGGCAGCATTGCTCAAGAGCATCTGCAGGATGGTGTTGGTGTCCCCAGAGTCATGTCCAGGAAAGCCTGGTCTTATTTAGATTGGGCACATCCCGTCTTTGCATATTTAAGAAATCCCTGCATTCGTTACACATTTGGTCTGGGAAAAACCCTCAAAGGTTGAAAAAGGTCGAGGCTGAGGTTGAAAACCCCTGTGGGCCACTAGCTCCACTGCAAATGTGGCTGGATATCACCTCCTGGAGCCAGATAATGATTTTCCTGCCTTTACATATGAGCCTTCCTAGTGACACTGCGGTTCTAAAACCTGTTTAGATCATCAGTTTTGTCAGTGCCAGGCTCTGCCTCTGCTTCCTGGCAGTTCATGAACCTCTGGGAATCAGGAGCAAAACAGCATCACCTGCATCTGAAACGAGGTGAAGCTTTTTCTCATAGACTTCCTCTATCATTCCTCACACCCAAAAAAAGGAGTTCCCGCTTTTCCTTCTTTCATGGCATCCAGCAAGTAGAAGCACCTTGGAGAACAGAGTGTCTTCCTATTAGAAACCATAAGTACTTCTACTGTGTGCTCACAGCCATTTGATTTATGTGTTGCTGATACAAAAAAATGCAGGCTCCACTTTAACAAATCAATAGAGTGGCGCCTTTCCAAGCCCCTGGAGCAAGGAACCTCTTCAAGTTGGATGTCTCCTTATCTAGTCT